GGAGTGGGGAGAGGGGGGAGGGGGAATAACAAAAGACTTTCCAAGTGCAACACTCGGGACTGTAAGGATCCCTTGCCCGATGTCTATCCATATAGAGAGCATCACACATAATAATGCACATACTACCTGATTTGATTAATACTGTACAATTCCATAGCATCACACATAATAATGCACATACAACCTTTCTTTTTTTCTTTTTTTTTTCTTCTTTTTTTACACACATACAACCGCATACACGTGATAATATCCAATGGTAGGTAGGTAGCGTGAGGTGAAATTGAGAGAAGAACATAGCTTAAAAAAAAAAAAAAAAAAAAAAAAAAATCCAATTCCATGACCCCCCAGTATTTGAGCAAAATCGACCAAACCAATTGAACTTTGCGCTCAGCCGTTGATCACACAGGCATGCAGGTTGCACAAGATCTCCAGCCCCAATTTCACCACCTTCTCCAACCTCTAGGAATTCGTTATCTAGTTGACATCAACTAAAAAATAAATTAAAAATATATATATAATTAAAATTTTTAAAAAAAGTTTAATTAGGCTTATCCAAACACAAAAGTTGTGACACACCCAACAAACGATTCAACAGATGTCCGCCCTTGTCCTGAAGACGCACAATGACAGCTCCCACAAAAAAAAAAAAAAAAAAAAAAAAAGTCCTAGGCGCCCCCACAACCATAGCCAAACCTTTACTACTACTCCTACCTGAATCATCTCTCTTGTATGGCGATGCTCCTCTCATTGTCAAGCTATGCGAAAAAGATCTACTGCACTAGGTCCATTGTGTTCCTAGACCCAATTACGTCGAACAATCTCCTTGCCTTCGCATTGCCATCGTATGCGGGCACTGGCTACGGCACGCTCTTCAATGGTACTCGTCAACGGATAGCTCTCCAAAGGCCTTACGGCTTCGTGATAAATCAGGGATCCCTAGGCCTAACTTCTTCTTTTTTCGTTTTTTTTAGTGTTCGCAAGTGAGGATCGAACTCACGACCTTCAGCTTACGAAGATACCTAACTTATTCCATTTCCCTGATCCGAAGAGAAGCTGAGTGTCACGTAACCCCAGACTTCTCCGCGGTCTTGGGGAAGGAGGGGGGAGGAGGGGGGGGGAATGGCAGTTAACCCTGGCAAGTTGCCCTTCAGGACATCTGTTAAATAGGAACGATACAGAGAAGATTAGCAAAGCCGATGCGCAAGGATGACACACATAAATCGAGAAATGGTCCACAAAAAAAAAAAAGAGGTAAATTGTTTGATCAAAAAAAAAGAAAAAAAAAGCATGCAAGTGGGTGGACCTTGCCCCAGGGGAGTGTGCTCCCTTTAGCCCCTCCCACTACCATCTTCCCACGAATAGAATAGAATAGAATAGAATCAGGGCTGAATTTCCGGTCCTACCGGGTGGCCCTTCCCCCACCGGAACCGGACCGGTGGACCTCGCCGGTTCCCCCCCGGTGGAAAATCGCGCCGACGGGTAGCGGCGGATTTTGAATTTTTTCGGGGGCCGGGAGGCCTCCCTGCGGGTCGTGGAGGCTTCCCGGCCCCAAAAAA